CCCTATACCCCCTGTGCGTCCTCGCCTACCCACGACACAAAAATAATACAGACATAGGTAAATGAGTAAAATATTAATGTAAAGGTATAGGAAATGGGCCTCCAAATTTTTGGACAGTTAGATCTAAGTATTTAAAAACTTCAAATCCATTTTTCATTATCATAATAATCATTCGGTTATTCTCAGGTGGATCTCAATTTTTAAAATTCCTTCTAAGTACCTCTTTGGCCTAAGGGAACAAATGCACAATATATGCTTCCACGTGAGCATGCATTGCAGTGTTAACGTAGAAAAACCTAGCTTGCACAATTTATGGGAATACTATGATGAAGAACTAAAATGTTTGAGAGTCTTGTTATTTGAGTTAAGAATCGTGTATTCCTTTTTGTTCGTCTTTCTTAAGGGTTTCCAAAATAAGCATACACCTTTTACTATTGACTTTCATTTCTTATATACACTTAAGGATGCTACCTTATAATGTAGAACTACGGATGCCCTAAAAAATCCATCGAAAAAGATGGTTTTAATATTGAAAATTTGATTAATCATCTCAACATTGAGATGTATGACTATGAAAAATATACAGATTTTAAGTCTTAAAAATAGTGCATTTTACAGCATATTATCTACACTGTCCATTTTCAAGATTTCCATATGTTTATAGATCTACTTGATTTTAACTATTTTTGAAATTTAAAATTATATAAAAATAGATTTTGAGATAATCTTAATAACATTTTACATCAAAATTATATACCATGATAGGAAGATGCTACGATATGCCGATTCGTGTACCGCTACAGTAAACATCGAATTGCCTAGATCAAATCTGGACTGATCTGATGATTACGGATATTTGGTAATGTTTAATTTTTCATTATTTTTTTACAAATCAGAATGATCAGAAATTTGGACCGTGTGTTCATAAAAAATAGGTGAATCTATGAAAAATATCAAAAAAATATTTTACATGAAATAAATTGACTAAAATACCCTCAAAACATTTCAGGGGTATTTTGATCAATTTTATTTTTACGAATTATTGTTTTTATATTTTTATTAGGTGCGACTCACTAAGATGTACACACACTTCAAATTTCAGATCATTCATATTTGTATAAAAAAAATTAAAATTCAAATACTCTTGGACAACCGTGACCGTTAGATCGACCCATATTTGATCTAAACCATTGAACATTTATTGTAGCAGTAATGGCGTAAAAGAACTTTTTCTATATATATATATATATATAATCGATATTAAAATATTTTAGATAAACTATCTTCTTTGTTATTTGGTATATATTTTATATTATATATCATGTTGTTTTACTTATTTTAGCAATTTCCAGCCATTTTTTGCTAGTTTGGCCAAAAACATGCGTGTGGTGTTGGGGAGTTACTGTGCCAACTGCCCGCAAATATCCTTTACATGAAGAGAAAAGTTTATATAGAGCCGAGGCTCTAAACAATCAAACATGAGCCTATCTCAAAAAAAAAATTAGAAGAGTTTGTTTTGATGTCTAAATATCTTCAAATTTATCATCGTGACAACAAAATGCATGAACATGAGAAAAAAATGGATTTCAAATTTTAGAAATAGTTAATTTTGTAACGAACTTTTGGACCGTCATTTTCAAGTTTTCATGGATCTGCCGATCTACAGTATCTTTGAAGCTTTAAATTTTACAAATAAATATGAAAATATATTTTAAAGCTATTACAAAGATTTCCGGCATTCAAACCACATTTCTCGATACTATTTGAAGGTAGGCTCTAATTTGTACTCTATTCACGCTAATTAGCTAAAGGATAAGTCAACATCTACCGATCCGATAGAAGTTGTCAAACAACAGGTAATTCATTATCCATGATTATTTTTATTAAAATAATAAATTACCATTGACATTGACTACATCCAAATAGAACTTTATATTTTAACTTGTATTTTTTCCTATTACAAAAACACTAGGCTGGTGAACCGACTCAAAGATTAAGAGTAGGTGCTATTATTTTATGTGTTGCACACCTCCACTTTATGATTTTTTTTGTTCTTGGTTTAAAAAAGAAACAGTAACCATTACAGGCATCCATGTGAACCGGTCCATTTCAAACTTGGGAGCATATGCTCAGTAAGATGGTGTATTTCAAAATGACTGAGCTTTTTAAAATGCCACTTGCAAGGTATAATGTTAATAGTATATTATCATTGACTACATTCAAACAGACCCTTATATTTTAACTTGTATTTTTTCCTATTAGAAAAACAATAGGCTGGTGAAGCGACCCAAAGATTTAAGAGAGTATTTGAAGTAGGTGCTATTCATTTATGCATTGGACATGTCTACTTGATATTTTCTTGTGTTTGGTTAAAAAAGAAACAGTATAAATTACAGTCATCAGTGTGAACGGGTCCATTTCAAAATGACAGTGGCCACTAAATAAAAACTTGGGAGCATTTGCTCGGTGAGATGGTGTATTTCAAAATGACTTGGCTTTTAATGCCACATGCAATGTATTATATTTTAATCTTGCAAGATATAATATATAATAATATTTTTTCTAGGAATTGGGCTGGCCTGTTGTTTAAGTAAGGCGGGCCTTCAAATTACATTGAAAGATGTCGTTTCATCACCAAAAAAGATGGATTGAAAATTTATTTTCATCTGTAATTATGAAATTTCTAGCTTAAAAATAGTGTATACCTTGTACCGTAGCTTTGAAATATATGACAGTCCCTGCCATTAATAGCTGGTTTATTTTTGCTCTTTGGTGTCCTCTCGGGGTAGACTTCTCCACAGCCCTAATATATGACAGTGCCTGCCATTAATAGCTGGTTTATTTTTGCTCTTTGGTGTCCTCTCGGGGTGGACTTCTCCACAGCCCTACTTGAAGGCCCCAACACTTTCTTGAAACAAAAAGAAGCTCTCTCTCTCTCTCCCTCCGAGATCGAAGAGCATTGGCTCAGGAAATAAATAGGCGAGGAAGGGAAGGGAGCATGAGGCGATCATCGAGTCAGGAAATGAGGCTGTCCCAGTGGCTCCAGAGCAAGGAAGGGAGCACCACACGATAGATATGGAGAACATCGAGTCAGGAAATGAGACTATCCCAATGGCTCTGACTACGAAGATGCACTCCGAAATAAGGAGCATAAGCTCTGGGCCTGCTACGACCGGTCTCATGTCTCGGAGGCCCCCCTGAGAGCCGAATTCTTGGAGATGGCTGCTTCCTCCTAGAGTTATATCTCGCTAAAAGATTTAGTGAGACCACGGGCTATGAGTAGAATGACCCTATATATGCTCATGACTTATACAATGACATGATGATGATCGAGAACCAGATACCTTTACTGGTTTTGCAAACACGGCTCGGGGATGTCTATTTCACTGAGGTCAACGAGTTGGTGCTAGGCCTCTTCCGACATTAGAGATGCCACGGCTGGGCCTGCATGCCTTGGACACCTTCACTTGAGGAGAAGGAGGAGCCTCAGACACCTGATGCGTCGGGTTCCAGGACTAAGCTGCTGTCTACAAGACTCCCAAGGAAAGACCAGGTCACACGAGTCCATGACCCCAAGTCCATTACATTAACTGCTCGATAGTTCTAACAGTACATAACGCTGTAAACTATAAAAATCACCTTCTTTTTGGCTGATACTGGCTTTCTCAACCATGGGTTGTGTAGACAGGGTCATGTCTTCTGCAGCACGACTACTTTCATGCAGTACACCACTTATGGGCTTGTACACCTCTGAGGGCAACCCATTGATGTCATCAACTTCAATGCCCGACATCATACACTCATGTCGAGTCAGCCAAAGATGAAGTTGGTTCGAATTAACATTTCGCCAATTGAGCTTCCCACCTTGTCAACTACTCCTCTTACCAAGATAGATAGGATTTCTTGGTATGCCATGTTTTGCTCTAAACTGCCGATGTACATAGTCCGACATATATGGTTCCGCAATATCATCAAATATCAATGTAGTTATGCACATCGCAGATTGAAATGTCTGCTTCATATCATCTAAAATAACATCATTAGGCTTGAAATACGGATTCCAAATTACCTGTCATATGATATAAAGTATCACATACAACAATCAGCCAGCAAACAACTATAAGTACTTAAAAACAAAAAAAACCAATCCATAATAATTCTTGTAGAATAGAATTTAGTCTAACCTCATTAGGGTGGAGGTTATCGAATTCTTGTCTTATGAAAGACATCAGGTTATGTGGATTGTCAAAATATTTCTTGTCTTTTGTGAGAATCCCCTTGATGGGGGTGCGGACGAGGCTCATTGGCCATAGCAAGAAGCGTCGTAACAGGTGGAGGGCTTAATTCATCCACACGTACCTTAGTGATCCATGGACGCTTATATCGTTACCGGTAGCGGCATTGCTACTGATACTAACGCTGCTCCAGACACAATATACGGTTCTCAGCTATTACAAGTAATTCGAGTCTTCACTTCTGCTACCTGTTATTGCGCCCATTGCATGAAGCGTTATTGATCCCATCATCAGGGCTATTTGGATTTTGGAGCAATGATTACAAATCGCGCTGTCTATGGGCTTAAATAACGTTACAAGATTGAATGGAGACCATCCAATTTTTAAAGGGTGAGATCTACGTGTTTAAAAACTCAAAAAAAAAAATATATATATATTTTAGTAATTCAGTGGGGATGATAGGCCCCTACCTGATTCTTGATTAGTTAGTGGTTTTTAAAGCTGCAAGTGGGAATAGAAGCCACAAATAAGGGTAAGTCAATGGGGATTTTATTTTCATTGACAGTTTATAAAAATGCCTAACACATTTCAAATTCAATATTTTGGAGCTGTCTAGACCTTTTTTACACCTTCTTAATGAAGTTTTTTCACTCTTGACATATACCATACACACTTGAACGAATTTATAAGAGAATATAAGAAAATTCTAGACTTCACACGTTTCAAATTCAAATTTCCACGCATTGTATGCTTCTGGACTTGTCTCTCATTTGAACTCTAGAATAATTTTAGTTCATTATTTAAAAAATACCTTTAACACCAACTTTTCCAAAATGGCCCTTACATTATTTAACTCTCAAAAATACCCTTAATAAAAATAAATAAAGCTTATTTCTAATATCTCCCTTAAGCTTGGTTTTCAATTTTGGTCACCTCCAATACATACCTCAATTATGAAATATTTTATATTCGAAGGGTTTTGTAAAAATATTGGCAATTTGATCTTGTGTCTTTGTGTAAACAAGTTCAGCCTTCTCATTTTCATGGTTTCGAATGAAATAAAACTAAATCTTATTATGTTTATTTCTTTCATGAAACAATGGGCCTTTGCTAATGCAATTGTCAACTTGTTATCTATGTGAATTTTGATAGGAGTTTCTTGAAGGTTTAAGAGGCCCTTAAGAAGGTTCCATACCCTCAAAGTTTAACAAGTACTTGAAGTTGTGGCTACGTGTTAGGCCTCTCGAGTTGAGAGTGTCAAAATCGATTGTTTCTTTGATGACAAAGTGAATGTGGTACTCCCCATATAAAAGATATACCCAAAAGTGCTTTTTTTTATCATCCAGGCCCAATTACTATCAATAAAACTTACATGATCATCAAAACTAATAGAACATGAATAAAACAAGTCACGATCAAATGTGCCCTTGTTATACACCGTAGAATCCTTTTGGCCACTTTTAAGTGATAGGTGTTTGGAATGTCTGGTACACCGCCTAATCAAACTAACTCCATAGATAGTATCTGGTCTTGTACATGTTAAGTATTGGAGGCTTCTCAAAAGTTTTCTCAAAAGTTTTTTAAAGAGAGTAAGATCAACATCTCCATCTTTTTCTTTCCCTAATTTTACACCATAGTGCACTGTTATTTTTACCGGATTGTAATTTTTTATTTTAAATTTCTTGAGTATTTCGTTTACATAAGCCTTTTGGGGACACAAAAATTCCAACATCTATTTGTTTAACTTCGATGCTAGGAAAATAAGTCATGAAGTCAATGTAGATCATTTCAAACACTTTAATTATCGATTCTTTGAATTCTTTACACATGACCGGATTATTTCCTTGCTTACAGTGCGGATCTGATGAGATCCCGGATAAAACCTCCCCAAATGTATGCTTTAAACTTGTTTCAAATTGAAGATCCGTAGAAAATCAAGGGGATCTGTGTTAGTAAGACCCCAAAGCTGCAAAGATCTAGGTTCTTGAAGAATTGCCAGTCGTTCTAAAAAATGTACTAGAAAAACAAAAACTGAAAAAAAATTAACTAAAATTGAAAATAAATTAAATCAATCAAAAAATTAAATTAAAACTAAAATTAAATGAGGTCACAACTATTCACATTCATTAGATGTCAAATTGGATAGTTTGGGATAAGTCATGAAATCTAGAAAAAAAAAAGAAAAAGAAAATAGAACTTTGTATCTATCCAATGGCACTGTTACAACCACCCATTTTAAAATTTAACGGCAAAAGTGATTGTAAACGTCTTGTACAAAAGATAAATGGTCTTTTTATATGCTTTTTCCAAAAAAAAAAAACACTGTTACTCACATTTTTTATAATGTTACATATATATTCTGAAGGAAATCCAAGGTCCTCCAACAAAGATGTTCTAAGTTTGGGAACCACTTAATGAATATTTTCAAAAAGATAATTTTGAGTTCTCTAATATTTGGATCTCGCCCTCCAAAACATTCAATCTTCATACTTCTTCTTTTTCCAAGCCTACAGACATTGTGATTTGGAACTTTTTTTTATTATTATTATTGAGATCAGTCTATGAGTTGAAGAGATTACATTTGCAAAGTTTGAAGTTCTGAAGTACTTCTGAATTGGGTTTTACCCAAGGGAATAAATGGATAGTATGCTCCTGCAAGACAAAATCATTTCGCTAACAAATAATGACCTTTATTGAGGAACAATATTATTTGCCTTTTTCTCCGACTAGGCTGGGACATTGCAATGCAATGTGCTGATTCTTTCCTTTAGCAAAGTAGAAGGGAAAACTTTGAATGATACCTTCACCCTAGTCAGAGTTATACTACTATATGCCTTCTCTTTTTTGAGGTTGTATACTATTATGCTTATGGGGGAGCAAGTTGTGTACGTGCTCCCTTGGGCAAATACCAACTTAAGACGATCTATTTGAATTTTTTAAATTTAAGACTAATCTTAGAATCCTTCAAGTACTATTGAAAAGAGATTGTATATAATGAGACCATTTATCATTGGTACAAGGAGGTCACAATTAGTTATGACCATCTGATGTGAAATTTGATAGTTTAGGTATGCCACAAATATCGAGAGAATTTCTTTTGAACTTGAGCTTGGTCAAGCCACTCAATTTCACATCTTATGGTTGAGATTAATTGTGACCGCCTTGTACTAAAAGCAAATGATCTTATTGTATTCTTTTTTTTTAAAAAAAAAAAAAGACTTTTGTATTCCTAAACACTTAAATCTAACTATCTAGAAAATAAAAGGGAAAATAAATTGCATGTGTTCAATCCTACGAAGTGAATTTTCTAAGGAAGATTTAGGTTGGTCACCAAGTTTGAGTGGATTAGATCCCTATAAAATGGAGTCCACAAAATGCTTAAGCCAAGTTTTTGCCTATGAGAGCAAGTCTACAATTTGCTCCTGCGGAACCATACAATCTTCTTCCTTTCTTTTTTTTTTGTTGCAATGAGAGGCCATTCTTCGTATTGTTCCCATCATTCTTGTGCCAAATGGGGCCCAACCTCAAACTTTATTTATCTAATATATATTCCTCCTACCAACTTTACCTTATTAATATTTTTAAAATATTTCATCAAAAACTTTTGCTTTTAATTATGAAATTATAAACTCCATGTAACAACAAATTTCATGTATCACCAAGTCAATAATTTCATGCAAAACCAAATTTGTATTGTCTCAATTTTTTCACCAAAAAATACACATGAGTCACGTTTGATTGGGACCTCCTTTTGCTTTAGGCAAATTAAAGGTGCGTCTTCTCAAACACACAAGGATTTCGTTTCCCTTTCCCAAACGCCTTAAGCCCCGTTACTCAAGGGATAGAGAGAATCAACCCAGTAGATATAAACCACCTCTGTGCTCCTCCATAGAAGCCAACCCAACAAAGCAAAACTCTCTCTCTCTCTCTCTCCAGCAAAAACACAGTATGGAAAGACAGGAAGATCAATGGGTGGTGGACATAGAGAACAGCCTGAAAACACTTGACCTCGACTGCAGCTCCAAGTCTGAGCTCTGGGAGAAGCATTGCATATACAAAGTCCCGGCCTACCTAGCCGAGCTCAACAAGCAAGCCTACACCCCCCAGCTCGTCGCCCTCGGCCCCTTCCACCGTGCCCAACCCCACCTCCAACCAATGGAGTCACACAAGCAACGCGCCGTCCTCCACTTCCTAAACCGCTCGAAGCATCAAATCCAGGACTGCCTCAATGCTCTGAAAACCGTGGAACAGTACCTCAAGGCGTGCTACCGGTGGCCGGGCGACATGCCCCCACCTATTAGCTCCGACTTCCTTCGCATGATGCTTCTGGATGGCTGCTTCTTGCTCGAGCTCCATCAAACTACAATCAAGGGGGACTATGCTGGCTACATGAGTAACGACCCGGTGTTCGGTCCCCACCGTGCGACACATGTGCTTCCATTTGTACGCAGGGACATGTTGATGCTCGAGAACCAGATACCTTTACAGGTGTTGCAGCGGCTCATGGACCCGTTCGGTGATGCCAGTAGTGCGGCCGTGCACAAGCTTGTGCTCGAGTTCTTTCTCCCCAAGGGCACAAGTCTTGGTGGGGGAGATGACAATAGATTGGGATGGCACGCGCTTGATGTGTTTAGGCGGCATTTGGTGGGGGGGACGACGAAGAGCAAGACCGAGAGGTCAGCTGCAAACATGTCGGTCGACGGAGCGCAGGGGGATGAGACAGGGAGGTCGGCGACAGCCCTGAACGGCGCGAGGGTGAGGTTCAAGACCAGCAAATCGGATGGGTTGATGGATGTTAAGTTCAGCAACAGGGTGCTGCACCTGCCGCACATAATCATCGACGATGCCACGGTACATTCGAACGTCAGAGGGACCAACCTAGATCGAATTATTATGGACCCGGAATGGAACCTAATCGAGTTCAAGTCCAGATCCAACAGCCTAGACCCTGGAACCTAACCCAAACGGGTCAGGGGCTGGTAGAATAGGGTCCGGGTCTTAAAGGATCTGGACTTGAACAAGTTGTTTAAGGTCCAACTTGAACCCATTCATATGGAATTGGGGATAAATATACACGGTTAAATCCTATGGGATAAATATACACGGTTAAATCCTATGGGTGACCCATTAAGGTCAGACCTAAATCATGTTAAGTCGTCATGCAACACTAAACTAAAAGCAAGTATCTATACAAAATGGCATAAAAATAGTCTCTCTCCAACATCAAACCATTTGCACCCGGATAAGCGGCATAAAGAGAGACCACTTTCTTGTAATATTATCTGAACACCTTCACTTCCACGTTTAGGAACTTTGACACCTGTATTTTTACGCATGGTTGAAATATAACGCTCCTTAACGGGAGTGTCTATATTTCATCCTTATCCTATGAACTAAATATAGGAATAAAATTCTGCCAGTGTTTTGTATTTCAAACACAAGGCATCCTGTCTTGAGAAAATAGCCACAGGTGTGGTTGATAAGGCTGCAACCTTAAATTCAACTAAGTTGCAAATTTTGATGTAAAATGTTCTTAGGATAATTTCAAAATCTATTTTTATATTTAATTATAAAATTTTAAATTTAAAAAATAGTTAAAATCAAGTAGATCTATAAACATATGAATATCTTGAAAATGGACTGTGTAAATAATATGTTGTAAGATGCACTATTTTTGAAACTCAAAGTCTTTTTATTTTTTATAGTCATACATCTCGATATCGAGATGATCAATCACAGGGTTTTTCAACATTAAAGCAACATTTTCCAATGGATTTTCGTGGTGCATCGTAGTTCTACCTTTTAAGGTTGCAACCTTGTATAAACCTTTTTCTTTTTGGGGGGTGGTTTTTTTTTGTCATGAAAAAGTTTATATAAGGTTGCAACCTTAACATGTAGAATTAAAGATGCGCCTCAAAAATCTATCGAAAAATATTATTTTAATGTTGAAAAACCCTCTAATTGATCTTGTCATCAAGATGTATCAATATCAAAAAAAAAAAAAAAAAATTAAGTCCCAAAAAAGTGCATCTTGCAACAAATTATCTAGACCATCCATTTTCAAAATTTTCATTTGTTTATAGATCGACTTGATTTTAACCATTTTTCGAGTTTAAAATTTTATAATTGGATATGAAAATAGATTTTAAGATAATCCTAAGAATTTTTTACACCAAAATTACATGTTATGATAAAATTTAGAGGTGCGCCTTAATTGGATTGTTGAAGGTTGTAACCTTATAAAAACAGCACCCTTAATTTATATAGGGATTGTCTACAAAGAGAGTTTATCTTTCATACATGGAAGTCACAATCATTTCCACTCATAAGATGACAAATTGGATAGTTTGAGGTGAGTCATGAAGTCCGATAATTTGTTTTTGGAACTGTGTCTATTCAATGACACTCTTATAACCACCCATTTTGAAATTTACGAGACAAGAATGATTGTAACCTCCATATACAAAAGATAAACGGTCTTTTTGTAAACAAATCCCATTTAAATAGAAGTCAAAAAAAAAAAGGCATTGTCTCGGAGAGAAAAATAAACTGGATAACGATTAAAGAACTATGCATAACAAATATTTGTAAGCAATGTGTTATTCATTTCTTCTTAAATAATCAAATCCAAATCAGCGATACGGCCGAGATAATCGGCGAAGAAAAAAAAGAATAAAAATCAAAATAAAAAAAGAATAAAAATAAAATATGGGGCTGGATAGGCTGGTTTATGATAGAATAGACTAGTTTTTTTTCAAAGAACTGGCTACTTCATAGCGGGTGTTTCCCAATATATTCTAAGAATCATACTGATTCCTAAGTTGGATTGAGTAATTTCGATCCGGTTCGACATTTTTTAGAACATTGAGCGAAACCAGATCCGGGTACCACCGACATCCATTTAGCGGAAGATCAGAAGACAGATTACATCCCCTCAAGGGATAAGGCTTAACTTTCATTTGTCGAGTTCAAATGGATAGAAGTGTCTGTCTTGTAATTGGCTTTTTAGACAAATTTCGTGCCTTGATCTGTCGACTACCCCAAAAACATAACAAAATGTGTTCATGTCATGATTTTTTTCTTTGAGATGGGATTGATATTTGTTTTTACGAGCAGGAGTCGATGTTCTTGAATTTGATGGCGTTCGAGCACCTGCATGTGGGGGCGGGGTGCGAGGTCTCATCGTACATTTGGTTCATGGACAACCTCATAGATACTAAAAAGGACGTCGAGCTTCTGCGCTCCAAAGGCATCATAGAGAATGGAATGGGGAGTGATGAGGAGGTAGCGTTGCTCTTCAACAAGCTCTCAAAGGAGGTGACCATGGAGCAAAGGGGCCCTTTTGCGAGGTTGCAGAAGGAGCTGAGTGATCATTGTAAGAGAAGAAGCAACAGGTATTGCGCCGAGTTCCACCAGAGCTACCTGAGTAGCCCATGGGCGATCCTCTCGCTGCTGGCTGCCGTGTTCCTGCTCATGCTTACGGTGGCTCAGACAGTGTACTCAGGGCTCAGCTACCATAATCCCCATTAATTTCATCCTAGTGTACTCTCCCTCTCTCCTTTTGATTTCTCTCTCTCTCTCTCTCCTTTTATCTTCTTTCGAATGCATGGTTTTCTTGGGCATGTCCATCCTGCTTCTTTTATGGTGAGGTTTAGGTACGATTGCAGCTGTATATCTCGCGAGAGAAACCATTCTCGGGGCCAGAAAACAATGCTGTGGTCTGAAAATTCATTTTCACCCAACTGTGGGATATGGAACTGTAAAAGCAGTATAGAACTAGCAGATTTTCAGTTCTTCCAGCCACATGCCGGCTTTCTCAGCAAGGCCTTACAAAATATTTTCCCTCTCTTTCACGGTGCTTGTGATTTTTCTTTCTTAGTATCTTCCTGTCCAAGGGAGGCTAAAATAAAGGTTGTTTGCTAAAATATTGTGTAAATAGAACATTAATGGAAGATGATTGAATTATTTACTTAGAAGCTCTTCAGTAAAATAGCTCAGCATGTTGGTCTTTTATCTTAATGGTATTTTTCTGTAATTAGCTGTAGGAACATGTCCAGAATGGGAGAAAGAGGCATCCAAATTGGCAGAAACGAAACTCCTAAAGTTCTAAAAATGGCAGAAACGAAACTCCTAAAGTTTTAAAAATGAAGGCAAAAACTGAGCCATAATCCTATGAACCATGAGAAACTTCGTCCTTACGATTATCATCGTCCAATGAATATATGTATGGTGGTCTCCACACATTTGCCTATAAGATAATCAGGACCAAACAGACAAGATGGGATTTTTGTATGCTTTCCCCTGCCAACAAACTTCATGTGTACTCATTGAAGTCATGAGATAATAGCGGTTTGATGTCGATTGGGCAGCTGACAATGAGATGATAATAATGTCCAATTAGCACCAATTATTCCTCTAAAGCCTCCATTTACTTGACGTATTTTTAGATCATTACCAACCATCCGATCAAGGATAGATATTTGTCGATCCCCAAACACATGAGAATAATGTACAAAGGGACCAATGAAAAGCTCAGCCGGTACCATTTAGGGGTAAGTATCATTTAGGAAAACAATAAAAGGGTCTGATATAGTAGGTAAGGCTACTTGAATAATAAGGGCTTCTTGAATTTCTAATATTATATATTTCAAAAATTGGCTGAATTCTCTTCATGTAATCAGGTCTTTACAATAATGGGAATGGATGCACCGAGACCCCCGTCAACACTAAATAAAAGGGTTCAAGGTCAGACCAAGCCTGTTGCCTGTTTTTTACATGTACAAGAGACAAGAGGCTAAACCTTTCCATTTATCTGATGAGACAAAATCCGATTATGAGGACTACTTGGGTAGTGAGATTGTGTGCTCCTGTGTACCCTTCCCCAAAGTCCTCCAAAATGGGCATGCTTTAGCAGATCTTCAGGAGCCAACACCAATCAAAGATAGCTGGTAAGAGAAGGCAAAGGAACCAAAAATCAGAGGATGGAGGTATTTTTATCAACTTAAATGTGGCAATAATAACTGAAACAGCATAAAACCAACCTGGACTAACCAAAGTCAATGTACAAGGTTCAAGCAATATGTGGAAACTGATATCATAATTAGAGAATAAATAAAACTGGACCAAATCTAAGATTTTGAACTAAGACAATAAATAAGAAGAGTCTACCAGAGCCAAATACATCATGCGCAGATTACAAGGGAAGAGAGCATTAAAATCTCAGAATCTATCCAAATGTGATCATTGAGAAAAATGATAATTTGAAATTTTGCAATCAATCTTAATGTTTATTAAGAGAAATAATAAACAAGAAAAGCTTGTCATCGGCTTTCAGAGAAAGACCATTCATGGGAATCGATTGGAATTTGCAATCAAAGTTAATGTTGTAAAATTAATCTGCATAGACCAATGACTTGAGAGAAATAACAAACAAGAAAAACTTTTCCTCATCTTTCAAAGAAAGACCATTCACGGGAATCAACCCCATCAAAGAGAGAAGAGACAAATGGAATAACTTAGAGCACTATCTTCCATTGATTTAAAAAAGGTTCCATCATATGAACGTATGTGATCACAAATAAAACGTGACAAGAACTTTTTATCTTCTTACATAGAAAACCTACAAAAGGGAAGTGACCCACGAAAAAAGAAGAGACAAATGCAATCGCCAACAGAAGTAGCCACCATTAATTTAAGGGAAATTTGTCAAAATGCAACTAAGCTATTAACCATTTAACATTCTATCCATCTATTTTGATTTAATTTCAAAATGCTCAACAAAATACGGATGAGTTGGAATAGTACAAAAATTTTAAGAAGTTAAATAATTGAAAAGTGAGGTGTATTGTGATAAATTTCCCAAAATTTAAGAAAAGGTTTCATCCTATCAATGATCCTATCGATGACAGCATGTTGGGCAACGTATGGGAAACATATGCATTTGCATGTGTAAGCATTTCAAGAGGCCTTGTACATGTGGTTAAGAAAGGACACACCAGAGCATGAGGGTAACATCCATATATAGGTTGAAAAAAAAAAAGTGACAAGTAGATAGAAAACTTATTTAACTTTACAGATAACTGAGAGAGAGAGAGAGGAGGGGAGAGAGAGAGAGAGAGAGAGAGAGAGAGAGAAACCTACAATGTTGTTGTGAGGAGTCTTCCAGTAGAATCCCTGAAGGAAAACTGGAACAACAGTGCAGGTAGCCAGAATGTAGATCATCAGTGCATGCATCCCCATCCACTCTGCGGCAATGGTTGGCCGCCTGTACCCATATACATCAACCTGAAGAAAGAAACAACATGAGATGTCCTTCACAGAATAATTAACATATGTTTCTATAGAATTTTTATGCTAATATTTCATCTGGCATTATAAAGTTCAGGTGAACCACTCGAACCAAAAGTTTCAGAATTTTTTACTTCTTCATACTTGGCATGTAACCTAATCAAAGCAACTTAAAAGATAATTTTCCTCACAAAAAAGAGGTACAAGACAAGTCTTTCCAATTCATTATTCTCCTAGTTAGTCATGCTATAGTCGAGGCCATAGATTTACTTGGGGGTTTGTTGCCTAGTATAAAGTTTCATAGAAAGGTTTAACTGCAAATAAAAACAAAAAAACAAAAACAAAAAGCACATAAAAAAAAGGGGTGAGCACAATGACATCGAGATCTGACCAGCACATAAGTTCCAGCAAAGAAAATGCCGGCTGCTCCAGCAGTAACACAGGTGTAACTGAATGAGTAAAGAACCTTGTTCAAATGCATGCCTAGGCAAACAGAATCCATGCATTAGAAAATAAGAGAGAAAAATAACTACATAAAAAAGAGGCATGTAATCAACATCAAGTGAAAAACCGACAACTTACCACATAAATCCAACAAAAACCCTAAGACCACAAGGCAAAAAGAAGGAATTGTGAATTGCAAGATCCTCTCTTTGTGATCCTGATAGGCACCACAGGAAATCCAACATTAGTCTAAGAGAAAAACAGGATTTTAGTTTTAGAAAAGAAAAGGCTTAAAAGGAGAATCTCTCAACCTTGAAATGTACTAGAATATGTCCATAGTGCAAACCAATCAAGCAAGTCACAACAGCCATCACCGTACTGCACGCCAATAATTAAGAACCACCACTATCGTCAGAGAGATCAAACAAAAAAAAGGAAAATGGAAAGTCTAAGCTTGCCGCACCATTTGGAAAAAAGGGAATAAATCACACTAGACTCACTACATGGTGGAGCTAGTTACAAACCTCAAAAGACCCTCAGGATCAAAAGGAGCTTGGCACCATGAAGGGGCACCAGAAGGTAGCGGACCATAATCCGGGGAGTTAATGCTGCAATGCTGGAACACACAAGAGGAATTCAATGTGATCAAATTAAGCCTTCATAAGACAAAAGAAAAAGATAAAACTTACAAAACAAACGGTTCTGAAGCAAAGAATATGTTTTCCAACCTTTGTTCGTGCATAGGTTGGCTTTCTATATAGATGTTGCAGTCCCATAAGTGTTCGATCGATATAACCAACAGCATTACAAGCAGGTCCAGTATCACCCCTAACTCCACACTTCACCTGGAGAGTAAACATTAATGGACTCAGCTGCCAAACCAAATAATTGCCATTTTCTAAACCAATTGCCTGGTATTCATAGAGCTTGATTACCTTGCGGTGGAAGAGAAAAAGCAATCCACTTTATGGTTTAAGTATGCAGAAACTTAAGATTCCTTTATTAGTATAATTTTGCTACTATGTAAATTATCAGGAAAAATTTGTCCATCTGTAAATATATTTATCGGCTCAAATTATGACCAATTAATACAAATTCAGAAACTCACAGAGAATGTTTTTGTGGCATTCGAAGAACCGTCCACAGGAATTTGATACTCCCAATCAGGCACATACAAACCATATAACAGGGACATATACAGTGCACTAAGCACAAAACCCACCAACCTAAGAAACAAAATAAGAAACTGAACATATCATGATATGTAGTTAAAATTAACTTGAAACCCATGGTAGTAGACTAAAATAAAACTCGCACGAACATAAGATTTAGGTTTAGAGCCTAGATGCAAGTATTATATGTCGCCATGCAACACCAATTCAAAATCTGTATCCTGTGTGCACCAAACACCCCTGCTCTCACTCCTCTTTCCATGAATCTAACTTCCAAGTGATTGTTAACATTCCATAAAGCACAAACTTAAGTGAGTTTCGAGTAGACTAGGCAGGGGGGTGATTTGCACAAATTTAAGGAGAATTTCATGGCCTTGATTTTATATGCTACTAACAATTGCTTCTTCCTTCAAGCTCATACATATTTGAAAAAATATGTTGTCACTTAAATATCGAATAGGAAGTAGCTCTAAGAAATAAAAATCACATGCATAAATGAGGGTTTCATTTATGTTTATAAACTCCAATAACGAGAATACTATAATGGAAAAAAATGGCCATGAAAACTTACAATTGGCCCCGATATTTCTTTACTAAGTCAAGTCCACATTTCGCATCATCATCAGTCTTCAACCAAATCTCACAAATTGCAGCCAGAAAGTAAGCAATCGCTATTCTCTGCATCATGACAAGTTATTGGATTTATGCAGTAAGTAAAAACTGTTAAGATTGTACTTACAAGAAAAGATATATTGTGATTGTGGTCAGTGAAAAATATGCAAATCAAATTTTAAAGAGAGTGCGCGTGCAAAAAAAAAAATAGTGAGTATTCTTTGAAGTAGCAAAAGAGTCGCACCATCAAACTATACCTTGACCTTTTGGAACTCCAAAAAAAAATTGAAAACTAACAGTAAAAGAGTCTGACAATTTCACAAAGCAGCAATCAATTGAGCAAAGCATGTACCTGAAGTATGCCCATCCACCGGATGCGATTGAGATCAACACCATAAGTTAAATCATTGACACCATGAAAGTATCCTCCTATATTCATTAATTAAGAAAAAGTATACAATGTTAACACATAAAAAAATAGTCATCCATGTTTTAAAATATAAAATTGCAAATTGGAGAAGAGACTTTTAGATTTTAGATACAAGGGAAAACGGACGTACTCAATTAAAATTCAAAAACATATACATGTCATTGAAGTTCAATTAGGACAATTCACTTCTAGATACCTTGAAGCATTAGACCCAAAAACAACAACTTCAGAGCTCGCAAAATTGCCCTCCTAGTAGCAACGATCTTGTTTGGCAGTTTCTGCAAACAAAGTACATGATAAATAAATAACAAATGCTTTATAATGCAAAGAGATCAAATCAAAAGAACTTCAACGAAAGTCGACTTTATCTATGTAGCGACAGATCATCATTATAAACTGTGTTACCTTATAAGTAAGCCCAAGTGAAACTCCAACCATGAACAAAAAAAATGGCATTACAAAATCTGCAAGGGTCAGACCATTCCAAGGGGAATGATTGATCGCCGAGATAACTCCTCCAGCATGATCCACAAGTATCATGAGCTGCATTGCGATATAACAAGGCAATTGTAAGACAATCAATCACGTATTTAGTTAATTTTATAGATCTGAAGTACTAATCTGTATTAAAAATACTAAAAATCTGCACTAATCTGTATAATGTGCTATGGACATGATCCTATCAAATTGCATGCGGGTGAATTGAATGAACCGTTAAGGTTTATTTATACATGTTGTGATGGTCAAGACATGAAAAGACACATTTCTTAGAACAAAAAGCCGACCAAGACAGCATTATTCTCTAAAGAATTAGAAAAACATGGGCCTGAAAACTTTGCATTATCCTCCATTTTAGTGATTATTACCCAAGCCAGAGAGACAAAAAATGATATTTCCTCTAAAGAATTAGAAAAACATGGGCCTGAAATTTTTCGATCAGGTGGTTTGATGAAAACCAAGGACCAAAATTTCTGAAATTAGAAAAACACAAGATAAAATTTGAGATCGCAAATATGCATTAGTAGAACTATTATTCTTATATTTATACAATTTTTTAAGTTCGTATTCAAATTAAGTATAATTGACAGGACTTTAATATATTAGCTATTAAAAATAAATTTTAACTATGACAAATTCAAGGTATACATAATTAGATTAGTAAAACATTTTATAAATGAAAGAGTTGACAATGATTTTGGTTTATATCAAGACTAAAATGTCAAAAATCATTATCCAACGCGACAAATTTTACTTAGATATCCATCTCCAAATCTTTGCAAACTGCTTGCCATTCGCATTATTGAATCTTACAGTTACTTTCAATCCATGTGATATTTTTTATCGCAATAGTGACAGGAAGGCTTAAAATAACACAAATAATGGATTCACTACATTATTATCATATTAATTATCCAGAATAGAAGCTATCATGATAAAATAAAGATAACATGAATTTATCAGAGATTATGCCATGAAGCCAAAAATTGATGATTTACCATATAATAGGAAATGAATATCTAAACAAAAAATTGATGCCTTATAAAGTAATGTACACAAGACGAGATCCGCCGTCAAATTGGAAGCAATGATCCGATCAGACCAGACAAAACAAGACCGCCACAATAATAACTAAGAAAATAGTAGTACATTGAGAAAAAACTGAAAAATTGGAAAAAAAATCCAAAAAAAATAAAACAAAATAGTTAGGAACAACAACAAATTTATATATCCATAGATATATAAGATTAAAATCCAAAATGCAAAATGACAAAATGTACTATATATGACACTTCTTTCAGCATTGAGCCAATAACCAACTAGTTCATAAATTTGAAAGTAGCATCCATTAAGCCAGTTCACAGACTTTCCTTTGTATGGTTATTCAAGAACTTCAATTTACCAACCCAAAGATTTTAGCACAACAAATGCTACTATACACTCGTGCAGTATTAATTTATCAGGGGAAATTTATCAAAATACACCTAACTTTTCAACAACTTAACACTTTACTGTTCTCCAAATATTCCAACTTATTGGAATGCATATTTTTTAAGAGTGTTTTGAAATTAAACAAGAAGTTGAAAGTAAATTGTTAAATGGTTGAACACTTATGTGTATTTTACTTAATAATGCATCTATGCAAACTACACTTGAGAAGATAACAATCAGATGCATTATTAAGTAACATACACATAAATCCGAACACCTAAAAATAATGCATCTATGCAAACCACACCTGAGAAGATAAACAATCAGATGCATTATTAAGTAAAATACACATAAATCCGAGGAGCTAAATAATCAAAGTAAGGCACACCTTCAAATAGTATCGAAATATAATGCTTCAGTATTAGAAATCTTTATGATGGCGTAAAAATTTATTTTTCATCCCTAATTATAAATTTAAAGATCCAAAAATAGTGTAGATTGAGCAAATCCATAAACACTTGAAAATCTTAAAAATTACCAGTCTTGATAATACATTACATGCATTGTTTCGAAAACTTGAAATCTATTTTTTTCTCACATCCATATGTTTTGAGGTCTAGTTGATTGCAGTGAAGGCTTTTCAGCATTTAGGGCAGTAACGTGTCGGGTCGAGTCGGGTACGGACCAAGAAAAAAAGTTATGGGACTCAGATCTAGACCTAGACCCGGACCCGATTAGACCCGATCCAAAAATAAAAAAAACTTATATTTAAATATTATGTTAAATACATACATGACTTGTATAAACATTATAACTAAAAATAATATATTTAAATATTATTTAAATGTTATGTACTAAATATTATTTAAATATTAACACCATACGGAACACTATAGATGCCGTGCAACCACGTTGTGCTATTAGGTGATAATAGAGAGAAAGGGTACGTGAAGAGAGAGAAAGTCATAGTACCTTATGCAAAAGATGGGCCAGGTTTTGTATACATTATCAACGATGAGCCAGGTTTTGTATACATTATCAACCTTGAACTATTGAAGTAAGGTGCACCTCAAAACTATGTGGAAAATGCAATTTCGATGTCGCAAAGCCTTGCGATGGTATGAAAATATATTGCTGTACTCGATTATTAAATTTTAAATTTTAAAATGGTGATGAACAAGCAAATCTATAAACACTTAAAAATATTAAAAATAAACGGTTTCAGAAAATATGTTAGAAAATAAACTATTTTTAAGACTAAAAATTCTTTTTTCTTTTTAAGATTATGAAACTCCGAACCCAATACAACCAAATACAAAAGAATACAATAAGTATAATAAGAGAGAGAGTTTGTGATGAGATAGAGAAAGGGACGCCAAGAATAGAGTGCAACCATGTAGTAAAGAATGTGCATGGTAGGTGATGACAGAGAGAATGGGTAAGATGATGAGGGCTTGTACAGTACGTGATGAGAGAGAAAGTTACACCAGGTGGTGAGAGAGACCATGCTTACTGCATCATAAAAACGACGCTAATACGATTAAAATGAGTCAGCGGACTCACTAGCCCGCTCGCACAATCATTCATCTTTAAGATCTTCACAAGATTCGTATCCAATGGTTAGAAAAAATTTTAAAAAAATGTAATTAAGTTTTATATTTCATTTTTTATATTCATTATCTATATACAAATTTAGACGCCCCATGAGAATAGTATGAGTATGGAGACACATAAAAACCGGGTCCGAAAATAACATTCTTCGTACGCACACGCATCGTCACGAGAGTGTAACTCGGTACTCGGGTGATTACGTAACCTCGGTATGTTAGTGGAGTATAAATCATGTAATTTAGCCCAAAAAAATTTAAATAAACGGAGGGTTGGTTTTGTACAAAGGATATAATAGCTTTATGGACATGAAGTAAAGCCTCATGTCGAATCTTTGTTCGAGAAAGCAGTTTATCTATATGATGGTGTTTTAAAATGAAAATCTAAAACGCACCATCAAGAGAGGCCCAAACGGTTTAAGGCACAACATGTCGCTTACCGGGATGCTTTAACATAAGCAGATAATATATATTGCAAATTTATGAAATATTTTAGTTAAATTTTATGTTGGTTGCCTACTTAACATAGCCCACCTCCTTGAAATAGGCCAAGAGAGAAGCCTAAAATGTAAAATTGAGTATTATAATACCCCTCCGATAAAATTTGCGAATGAGAGCACTAGAATTTCATTTTCCAAAGAGAGACAAAGAGGGAGAGAGAGAGCGTCATAGGGGTCGCAATGGGTAAGCTCGGGTCCAAGTCAATCTAGACCCAAACCCGACCTAGAACCAACTTAGGTTTAGGGCTTTGGACCCGGATCCGACCCGATTTGTAACCGGGTCAATTCCAGGTCTAGAACCTAACAACCACATTTTGAAAAAGATAAATAAATACGTTTCACAAATACACAAACATATGATACAAATATAGACAAATTTGTCAAAATATTATATATTTTAAATTTTTAAATATATGTGTGTGTGTACGTGCCCTTGTGTATTTTAACATATACACACAATGTAGAAGAAATTGTGAAGAAGAAGCAAGACAAAAGAAAGTTTTACATGGTTCGATCTCTTAGACCTACATCCAAAGTTGAAGGTCATTCATTCTTGCCCAGTATTCCATTCACCCAATATTGAATAGAAGATACAAGATAACAAAAAAATAGAAACTGATTTCCAAAATATCTCTTAAATATATCACCAAGATATTCTCCACCTTTAGTTACCCAAAATATGAGGGATTTGGGTTACCACTCGTGTATCATATTTATCATGTTTGAATAGCTACACATTTTGATTTCAACACACATATAAATGTGTCTGGGTCATCTCAACCTGGATTCTAATCCGACTCACGTCAAGGTTTTGGACCTGGACCCGGACCCAGACCCAATTGCCACCCCTTGAGAGAGAGCCCAAGGGTATGATTATAAGGATCAATGTTTTAAAACTTGCATAAGCCGAAGTACTCCACTCTGGCCTGAGGATGGTTACTTGAGTAGTCCGAGTGGACTCACAAGAGAACTGCATCAGGCCCATAGGCCCTTAAAAATAAAAAAGAACAAAAAAGCAAAAAAGAAATAGTCAAACAAAACAAAAAATTAACCCAAAAGTCCAACCAAGATTAAAAAATCTATAGCACATGAATTTAAAATAATTGATTTATCGCTGGGATATTTATTAAAATTCGAAAAATAAAATATAAAAGTAGAGCATGTTCAAAAAAAGAACTCACCAATAATTGCCATAAACGCTCAAGTTACATATAAAATTTTATGAATAGATTCTATGCTTTTATATATTTTTATGACTTTTTTTCTATTTTTCTTATATACCTCGAGTTCTACAAGTCGACTCAGCGCACAACGGGGTAAGTCCGAGTTCAACTCGGCCGAATTTCAAAACACTACTAAGGATTGTGGGATCCCAAAACAAATTGAGTTCAACTCGGCCGAATTTCAAAACACTACTAAGGATTGTGGGATCCCAAAACAAATTGGTAAAGGAAGCAACAAATCTCATTTAAAGGAGTCCACCGATGGATTCATGGAGGAAATGAAA